CAATACCGAGAGATCCACTTACGTCTGCCTCCCAGGTGCTACCATGCCTAGCCTGATCTGTTACTTTTCCTGTCTCTGCAGACACTTTCTGTGCTTTTTTTGAAATATTTATTTATTTGGAACTTTTTTTCATAGGTTCTGACTGTGTAACCTTGCCTGGCCTGTAACTTCATATGTAGAACTTCAACTTCCTCGGATGCTCTTGCCTCTGCCTCCCAAGTGCTAGGATCAGGTGTGTACCACTACAGTCAGAATATGTTTTTATTAAAAAGAAAAGTCTCTCTTCGGATTCCTGGCCTATTAAGGTTCCTCACAGGTGGAGCACCTGTCATGTGGATTAAACTCTTTACTGTGTTCTAACCTGGCCTGTTTGTGTCCTCCTGAGAATTTGAACTCTTGTTGCTAAGTAACCACTGCTGTTATAGATGTCTCTCAACAGGCATCCTCACAGTTGGTTTAAGAACTCCTTCCTTGGCCAGGCCGTGGTGGTGCACACCTTAATCCCAGCTCTTGGGAGGCAAAGACAGGCGATCTCTGTGAGTTTGAGGCCAGCCTGGGCGAGCTCTAAAGCCACAGAAAAACCACATCTCGAAAACGTAAAAAAAAGAACTCCTTCCTTAGAAACTTCCCAAGACTCAAAATTTTAAACCAATGAGTCTGTCTTCTGTGTGGAGCCTGGGATAGAGAGGAGGAGGCAGACGTGGATCCAGAAAGACCAGCTAGGAGTCTGTGCTTGCAAATATTGTTAACTTGACAAATGCTAGAATTACCTACAAAATAAACTTATGGGATTGTCTATGAGGAAGCTTCTGGATCAGTTTAGCTGTGGTGGGAAGACCCTTCTTAACTGTGGGTGACACCGTTCCCTGGGGTAGGGTCTAGACTAGGAGAAGGAGAACATGCGCTGAGCACCTGCTTCACTTCCCTGCTTCCTGACCGCAGATGCTGCGTGAGCCCCAGGCAGGCGCCTCTCACAGCTTTTCTGGCCTTCCTTCCTGCTCTCCTCTAGTTCTACAGCGAGTCGGGCATGCCCACCAAACACCTCTCCGACAGCGTGTGTGCCGTGTGTGGGCAGCAGATCTTCGTAGATGTCAATGAAGAGGGCATCATCGAGAACACATACAGGCTCTCCTGCAATCACGTGTATCCTGCTTTGTGCTGCATCTCTCCTGAACCCGTGCTCCAGCCATGGTAGGAAGAGGGTGGCATGACCCTGGTATGTCAGAAACTTTAGCCTTTTTATCGCCCTTTTCTTCCAGAATGGCACTGCCCTTAGTGAAAGGTGGTTACGGACTGCCAGGTCCTAGAGAGCTGCAGCTGCAGCTAGCGAGGCCACTCAAGCTGATGTGTGCACAGAGGAGGAGACTACCGAAATGCTTCAGTTTAGAGTTGAGTCCCTTACTGAGGATTTGATCTCATCTTGATCATGTCTTTACTAAGTACCCGTCCTGTGCCATGTTGGGAACTGTGTATTTGTCTCCATCCTGGTTCATAACAGCCATGTAAATTAGGATCATGGCTCTCACTCCCCTGGGAGGAAACATTCGGAGAGAAGGGCCCTCCCCAGATCACACAGCTGTATGTAAGGAGTGAACCTTTCTCTGGAGCTGCCGCTCTGGCATGCTGAGGTCCAAGATGGGGCTAAAGTACCAGTTTGGCTTTCCACCACTTCCCTTGACCAATGGTGCTCAGATTCCACGAGTTCTGTATCCGAGGCTGGTGCATCGTGGGAAAGAAACAGACGTGTCCATACTGCAAGGAGAAGGTGGACCTGAAGAGGATGTTCAGCAACCCGTATCCTTTGAGTCCTTGCTGGGGTAGCTGGTGGGAGGAAGGCACTCTCAGTGTCTGCATCCCACTGTTCCACCCCGCTGCCTCCACCTGGAGTTTGTTTACTCCTCAGTTTGGCTCTGTCCTGGAGAACTGGGGTGCGACATGAGGCAGCCAGGAAGCTCAACTGCCTATCATAAATTACTAACAAAAGTGGCCACTGCAACTTGTGTGTCTGCTTCCTCTCTAGAAAGTTCTTCACCTGAATCATCTCACTTGATTCCCTGGCAGCCCTAAGAGGCTGAGCCGTGGCCGCAGTTATTCACCAGTGAGCGATGCCTTCCCCACGGTTTGCATCCAGAGCTGCCTTTGCCTGGGTAGGCAGGGCCTGCGGGCCCTTTTCCCCATTCGCTTCTGCCCCGCTCCTACCCTAGCTGCCCTTTGTGTTCTGTCGTTTCCTGTCCCCTCTATACAGCAGGACTAGCCATGGGACAGGGGTGCTCCACCATTTCCAGAGCCTCTCTGCAGACTTTCCTCCCAGCTGGGCTCTGTAGGCATCCTTTCTTCTCTCTAGAGAGAGCAGAATGAAAGGAAAGGCTTCTTGGCCTCAGGAGGGCCTCCTTCAAGTCTCTGCCAGAGGCTGCTTGTAACTAATCTGATTGACACCGTTTTCCTGATTCTGTTATACTATACTACTCCTTGGAAGACGGGAATAAGCATCCACTCACCCCAGACCAAAGCAAGGGTGCCACTCAAGTCCAGCTTGGTGAACCAGTGAGGCTTATTGGTGTTACTTAGAGGAGTATGGTGAAGGGTTACTTGCTGTACCTGAAAGGACTCAAAGACAGCCGTATCGCCAAAAGCTGCCATGGATGATGGCTTCTGGAAGCCACAAACCTGGCACTTCTGCAGGCGGTTCAGTTGGTCTGAGCAGCTTCTAGCAGCTCAGCTGTGTCTCAGCAGTTTTCACCACTTATAGATACTCGGTGAAGGAGGAGCCTAGTGTGACCAGATAGTCAGTTTCAGGGACTTCTGAAGCCTTTGAATTGTTTACTTTCTGGGCTTACTTCCCTGCTGGATGGGATGTTTCACCTCTTTAGAATAGTGGATTTTTTGTTTGTTTGTTTTGGTTTGGTTTTTGTTTTCCAAAAGAGGATTTCTCTTTGTAGCACTGACTGTCCTGGAACTTGCTCTGTAGACCAGACTGGTCTCAAACTCAAGAGATCTGCCTGCCTCTGCCTCCCGAGTGATGGGATTAAAGGTGTGTGCTGCCACCACCACCCAAGAAGAGCCTATGTCTTACACTTCCTGCCAAGATGGAAGCTTTTTTTCTGGAAGAAAATTGCTACACAACATGTCAGTAAACACAACCTTTTCCTTAATGGAAAAACCCTTAAATTTGATACATTACAAGAAACTTCTTGGGGCAGGAGTATAGCTAGCCCAGAGGCAGAATACTTGCTAGAAGACCCTGCTGGTTTCCTGTACTCCATTCCCAGCTTCCTCCGGGATACATTTCATGGATACATTTCTAGGGCGTCTGTCAGACTCAGGCTGTTTGTCGTCTCTGAGCAGGTGGTGTGTGGAGCCCTGCACGGATGTCGGTTGTGGAGAGATCGGTTTTACCTCTCCACTTCTCGTGTCTGCTCCAGTCCCTTTTGCTCTCCTTCCCGATTCTCTGGGTTCAGTGCTTCATTCCAACATGGAGAGCTGAAGAGAAGCTGGGTAGCTTTGTTTTTCTCTGGGCTACGGAGCAGCATAAAACTGTAGGCAAATCCAAGGACGGCTCACTACCCTGCTGAATGAACCTAACAGCTCTTGCATATAATCTAGCCTCTGATCCTTAACGCCCTACCAGCTGGGAGAGGCCTCACGTCATGTATGGACAGCTGCTGGACTGGCTGCGCTACCTGGTGGCCTGGCAGCCTGTGATCATCGGCCTGGTTCAAGGCATCAGCTACATTCTGGGCCTGGAATAAACAGCAGCCACATCACTGGGGAGCCCACCCCACCTGCCATGGACCTCAGGGCACTTCCCTTGCTGCCCGTGAAGACTTGGGTGGGAAAGACTCAAAGGCACTTTGGGCCACTCAGGACCTCCCCAACTGGGTCTGGTTTTGGGGGTGGGGATGTTGGAGAACCAGCCAGTGGGGCTGTTAGCAGCGGGGGCTTTTTAAAAGAAAATTATTTTGATGAATATATTTAAATTTTTTTATTGTGGAGCATAGGAATTGTCCCCCACCCCTAGGCCTTACCCTGCCTGAACATGGTAGGGCAGAGCTGTTGGTTGGGAGGAGTCTTCTCACCTCTGGCTGAGAGCAATAGTGTGGGTTTTCTGCTGGCTGAGTGCTTCAGCCTACCCTTCCCCGTCCCTTCCCTCTGTAAGGCGCAAACCTGGTTTGCACTCAGTGTAGAAGAGCTCAGACTGGTGCCAAGATCCAATGCTGAGCAGTGAATGCTCTCTTCAGCTGTCTGGGACATAAGGTGGCTGTTGTACATGACTGTTCCCTTTTTGTCTGGAAACTTAAGACTGAGCGTGGCAAAATTGATGACTTTTCCAACTAGGGAAGCCCTGTGACCTCAAAATTCACTGACATGTTTTGGGACAACTGGAAGAGTGAGTAGCATGGATTACCTACCACTGAGCAGGGCTGTCGCCAGGCAGGGTATAGAAACCATCTATGTATAGTTAGGCTGTGGAAGCTACTTTGGTAGCAATGAATGTTGCAGCTTCTTGTGCAAATAGAGCCTCAGCCTGGAAGTGGTAACGTGCCAAAGTGTGTGCTGCATGTGCACAGAGCAGACAGACTAATGGGTACCAATTTCTGCAAGTCATCAATGTGCCCTTGAAGCTAAGCAGAGATTCCCAGACTAGGGAACAGCCCTATGGAGGCGTGGTCATTTGTGGGGTCTTCCTGGGCCTGACAGTAGGAGTGGTGGGTGGATGGGAAGAATAAGACCCGAGTGAGCACAGGTTCCGAAAAGTGGGGGCTTCTGAGCAGGCCTAGTCGCAGTCCTGGGCGTTTGGAGACAGTGGGAGGGCACCGTGGGTCTACAGCACTGGCCAAACAGGCCCTTGTCACCTTTGAATAAAGCTCCATGAGCTAGGCTGGAGAGCTTTTCTTTTTGCCACTCTTTCCTGTGACCTCTGGGGTGTCTTGCCTCTTGCACCTGAGAGCTGGGGCCTACAGTCGTGGACACTGTGTTTCCACCCCTGCCCCCTATGTGTGTAGTTCCTGTTTTTTGGCATTAGGTGCCCTAAGGCTTCACTGAGCCCCCTTTCAGACTGAGGTGGCTGAGACTAGTACCCCAACTATTCAGCCTATTCCTGTATCCTCAAGCCTTGGGAGCTGATCAAAGGACTCAGGGATCGATCAACTCTTCCTTTGTTCCCCTGCTGCTTTCACACCGAGTCAGTCCTGAGTCCCACAACCTCCTCTGGGCCACCTCTGGTCTCAGGTTCCTCTTCCTGTACCTCCACCCATCCCCCAGTCTCTAAGAATCCCTGTCCCCCGACCCCCCCACACACACACACACCCAGGGGAGTGCAGCCTCTGGTCTCTGGGTCAAACTCTCCCTGCAGTCTGCAGCCTAGGTGGGAGAAGGTGGGTGGAGTTGATCAGAGAAATGAATGTGGTATACAGACATGGCTTTCAGCCTCCTGCACCCGAATCAGTTATGAATTTTTGTTCCAAACCGGATCCATTTCCCTACCTTTCGTCAGCAGCTTCCCCGTTGATCGCAGAACCACAAACCTCGGACCATGTACATACTTACCCAGGTGCACGCACCAGAAGCTCTGTCCTAAAGAGCACAGCTTCAGATGATCAGATTCTGAGTGTGTACCTGCCGAGTTCCAGCCCCCAAGCTACTGGACTGCTGGGGAAGTGCTTTCCTGGCGGCTGTTTAGGGTCAGCTCTGTTAGTGGCTGGGAAACTTGTACACCAACCAGTTGCTGTTTCCTGTGGTGAGAGTTTTGGAGCTCCCAGAAGCTCTTCAGGGCCTTAGAGCCGGGTGGAAAGATCTAGATTTAACCAGTGAGCCTACAACACGTTCCAGTGGCTCCCGTGCCTGTCAGGGTGGGTGTGAGACAGCAGACTTTGGGCCAATATAGCATTGAGGGTAAAAAGGTCAGTGATTCAATTTGAAGTCCCCAGTACCAATTAATATTGACTCCTTGGGCACTGTTATGGAGAAAGTAAAAGCTTGACTCTATAGGAAGTTAAGTGAAGGGGGAGGGGGCACCGCCATCCTGACCCTCTCTCTGTAAGGCAGCACTGATCTGCAAGAGAGACTGATCTGTCTCACTCTCAGGGGTCTTAGTGGTGTGAGGTGAGAATTTGGAGAGGGGCCTGGGAAATTTGTCTAGTGTGAGCTGTGGGTCAAGGGGCGGAGCAGTCTGTTTGGGATTCCTAGGCAGGAAGTGAAAGTGAAATCATGGTTGGGAGCTTTCCCAGAAGCGGACTGCATCCTGCCCTTCCCAGAAAGAGGGCTGTCAACGGAGAGGGTTGCTTCCCAGGTAAGTCCCTGGCTCTTTGTGCCTTTCTCCTCCCTAACCTCTCTGGGTAAGATTGGATTGGGGAACTGTTATATAAATGCTGTTTGGAGCTGGTATGAGAGGAAATTTACTAGGGAACAACAGCAGTGTCTTAAGTGCCAAAGGCCCGGCTTGTGGCTCTAGGCCTGCCCTCTGAAGTAGCAGAGGCTCAGATGGACTGTCGGAGGGAAGAAACCTGAAGATGTGGGACTGGCTGAACTCCACTCTTCCTTTCCAGAGGAAGTTACAGACACCAGGCTTGCTTGCTTCTGACACAGTCATCACAACCATGAGACACTGTTGGACAACAGGTGGGACATGGGGCTTTGTGGGGTCATCCTAATAGAATGGAGTAATGTGGCTAACTTGGCCATCACCCCCAAGATGTTGTATCCAACTCTGCTATTGCTCTAAGCCTCCATGTAGCTGCTTTGGTCTGGCTCCACTTCAAGGCTTCTTTGCACCACATTCAGCTGGGCTAAAGGGTTTCCACCCATTCTGATGCCTGCTGACAGCCCAGGAGTATCTGGGTAGAGGTTTGCGTCTGACCAGAGCAGTGCTAGGGTGCTGAGCTTTACACCTGTAATTCTGTTCCTCAGACCCTAGTCCTTGGCGGGTCCTGCTTCTCTGTGTCCATGTCGTCATTCTGGCCAGAGGCACATGTGCACCTCAGACAAAGGACCTGTGCTCTTCCTGGTCTCCAGCACTGCACGTGATCTGGCCAGAGGAAGAAGTGCCACTGAGTAAGGAGCGGTTACGGGAGCCCAAGAGGTTAGAGTTGTCAGAGGTCAGGGGTTAGGCTGACTTAGGAATGTGCCACCCACCTGCCAAGAAGCACCAGTTTGGCTCTGTTCACCACTCTACTGCCCAGCTCCCAGGATGGTTCCTATAGGACTGTAGCCCTCCCAGGGCCTTGGACCCTGCCTGCCTTCTGGCCATCTCAGCAACATCAGCCTACTAGCATGACCCATATTGACCCTGTCTTCCCAAGGAAGGAGGCACAGAAGTGGAAGATTTGATGAACTTAGGACATTTCGTACATAGGCTTAGGGAGATTGATGCCTGTAATATTAAATATTCCCTTTTAATATTTTTCTACATAAGTGGGGTACAGGTATTGTAGGTTCTGATTCATGACTAAGAGGAGCTGGCAGGGTAGGGGGCCTCTGATAGAATAACTAACAGCCATCTGTGCTCCTAGATGGAACGCTGACCTTGTCCTGTACTGCCTGCAGCCGCTTCCCCTACTTGAGCATCCTCTACTGGCTGGGCAATGGTTCCTTCATTGAGCACCTCCCAGGCCGGCTGAGGGAGGGTCACACAAGGTGAGGGTCACAGCAGTCAGGCTAGTAGAAGGGAGACATCCCCTGCAACCCTCTCATGATTCTCTTCTGCCTCTGCAGTCGGGAACACAGGAACACCAGCACTTGGTTACAGAAAGCCTTGGTGCTAGAGGAACTGAGCCCCACCCTACGAAGCACCAACTTCTCCTGTCTGTTTGTGGATCCTGCACAGGTGGCCCAGTATCATATTGTTCTGGCCCAGCTCTGGGTAAGGACCCTGGAGAAAGGCATCCAGGAATCTCTGCTGTCTGGGGGAGGAAGGATGGGCTTTGCCAGGACAGTAACTGAGGACTTGATAGGGACAGGAACTCCTCCTCAGCTCTGACCTCGTGTGCCTTTACTTCCTCAGGATGGGTTGAAAACAGTCCCGACCCCTTCTCAAGAAATCCTCTCCAGCCACAGCCCAGAACCCACATCAGCAGGGCCAGGGGTCAACATGCAGCCGGCCACAGCATGGCCTTGACTGGAGCCTGGCTCTCATCAACCTGGAGGGTGAAGGCTACACCACAGGCTCTGCTTGTCCCACGCAGCTGAACCTCAAACTCAAGCTCTATTTCTACCTAGAATATCATAGTAATTAAATTAGAATTTCCCCTGCTTTTCCCTCTGTCCATGCGCGTTAACTTTTCTAACGTCTTCTTCACCCCACTGGTGTCGAGGGACCTTGGAGACCTGCTGGTGCCTTAGCCAAGCAATAGGAGCTCTGCCTACAAGTCCACATTGACTTTCCAGAGGCTTGTCAGGTCTCACATTCTGCACCGATTCAGCAGGTGAACCCTGGTCAAGATGTCACTCTGACAAGATCTATCTCAGCTCTGGCCAATCTGCATTGACTTCATTATTTATAGATGGTTTTTTTTCCTCATCTGCCCCAATGTCCTAAGGAAGGGATGGGACAATGGCTGCTTCAGATCACAACTAATCTCAGCAGGGCCCACAACGAGTCCTCATTTAGTGACATCTCAACCTGATGTATTTTAGGCCCTAGTACTGTCTATAGGAATGCTGCCTGTCTCAGGAAGGGGCAGGGGACACTGACTCTCTTGCCAATTAGAAATTCAAGATAGATAACGCAAACCCTTGACATAGAAAACAACCCATAGTATTAGTTAGGAACAGGGAGCAGAAATGGAATGTGGAAAGATCCCAGGAAGGCAGATGAGAAGAGTGCTGGTCTCCAGACTCAGGAGGGCCAAACACAGGCTCCAGAGAGCTGTCACTTCCCTCCTTCCCCCATACCGACACAAAGCGCAGCACTCAAGGGAGAAAAATAGACTTTATTTACAAGTAATAACATTTTAAAAAGATCCATCCCTGGCCCTTAAAAACCTTCCCATAGTTCCATATCCCACCCCAGTGCAAGTCTGGGGAAGGTGAAGTGTGAGCTGCCATGGAAGGCTGCCCCCATCCCACTCCTGAGACCCAGGATCCATCTGCCCTGGAAAAGAGCATCTTCCAGGCAGGTGTGTCCTTGTGTAGACGGGAGCAGGAAGAGCAGAGGCTCCTACCAGGTCAAGCCCAATCCTAGGGTTCAAGAGCAAAGGCCTCTGCTAGGCCTAGCCACCAGAAAGAGCAGGAAGCAGAACCTGCTTCTCCAATGGTCCCTTCTAGGTCCAGAGACTAAGGAAGACTGTCTGGGCTCAAGAATTCAGCCTCAAATCTAGTTACAATGGAGTAGACTTTCCTCCAAAAGGGGAGGGGGGGAGAGGTCAGGAGGCAAGATAAGGAGAACACCCCACAATGTCCACGCTTCCTGGGCCAGCTCTGAAAAGATGCCTAGAAGGCATCAATGAAGGTCCAGGAACCAGGCAAGGGTGCAGGCAAGCATCACTGTGTCTGGGGGGCAGGCCGCCATTGGCCTGGGAGCTGAGAGAAGGCACTGAGAGGGACAGTAGAGGGAAAAGGACCAGGTAGGGCCACGCACTGGTGTTGACTCTTTAATGCTTTGCCTGAAAAAGAGAGACGGTCACTTGGCCAGATTAAATCTCCTGTTGCCAGCCTCTATTAGCTCAGAAAACCCCTGCCTGGAACCCCTCCCTTTGTGCTCCATAAACACCCATCTTTAAATTATCAGTTGCCAACCATGCCTAAGTGGCGTCCTCAATTATGAATGGCTACCCAGGACAAAGTGCCTCTTCTTGCGCCCCTCCCTCCACTGGTCTAGCTTGGCCCTGCTTTGGATGCTGCCCTATAGAGTACTCAATCTAGTTTACTGTGTTACCTTGCCCTTGGCCCGAGGGGTAGCAGTGCTGGCAATGCGGGGAGAGCGGCGGGTTCCACTGCGAGTATTGGGAGAGACCTTCGCTGGGGTCTTCTTGGAAGCTCCTCGCCGTAGAAGACTATTTCCCAGCTTCTTGGGTGTGTTAAGGATGCTGAAGGCCATTGACTGGCGCCGATCCACCTGTGGGGATCAGTTTGTCAACTGGCTACTTTGGGGCTCTGCCAGCAAGGTTTCATTTGGCCGGCCGGCCTGCCTGCCTGTCTTCCTTCCCTCCCTCCTTCAGTCCCAGCCTAACCTGAACTGGAGCTGCTTTCTTCTGGGCTTCAGCATTGCTGCTCTGCTTACGTCCTTCATGCCGGTCCCTGGGAGTCAGGGGCCGTGGGAAGCAGCTGGTAGCTTTCTTGGACTGTGAGGCAGAGGACAATGAGACAGTTGCCTTCCCCATCTGACAGAGGCCGTTCCAGCAGTCCCATTGCAAGATTTCCCTCCCATTTACTACTTAAGACATGGTGAGAACAGATCACAGATGCTTGTGTGTCACTTACCTCGGGAGTGCCAGGGCCCTGGTGGGTCTCTAAGGAGACCCGTTTGCGCTGCTGCCGGGTGGTAATGCCAAGACCCTCAGAAATCTGGGTTGGCTGCATGCTGGCTCGGCGTAAGGTTTCCTGGGGGTCTCCGGTTTTCATCTCCTCATCAGTGATGGTGGCCAGGTTCGTGGAAGGCTGCATGGAACATGAGGAAGCAACCATGTGTCCCAGCTGTCTGAAGCAGGAACTAGGGCTGCCACACAACACTGAAGAGCTGGATCTACCTATGAGGAATAGCTAGTAGTCTCAGCAGTCTCAATCTGACTTCACTCCTGAGTGACTGCTGCCGTCTGTTCCATGTAGAAACACGAGAGACATTTCCAATAGGCCAAAGACCCAGCATACATATTCGGGCTAGCCACTTCAGTCAGTGTGGGAGGCCTTGAGGTGACCCCGCATCTCACCCTAGACTCCAGAGGATAGCAGGTCTTCAGGTGCGGGGGGCACACTCGGTTGCGCTGCTGCAGCTCTGCAATGCGGTTCCAATCGTCCAGCTGCTCGGGCTCATCCTGGCAAGTCCCCATGTAGAAGCTGTTCCTTCCTGCGACAGGCAGGACGTTAGGGCACACGACTGCGGCTGCACACTGTCTACTAACCTGGCCAGATTTTTTGGACCCCGCTCCATCCCACCTTCCTGAGGGGCTTCAAGCTGGATACACAAGTCTTATTCTGTGTCAATGGGACAGCCATCCAGACCATTTGTCTCATGGAGACCCCTCTCCCGGGGGAGGGCAGAGTGCAGCAGAGGCTGCCGTATCTTATTACCTGTCAAGGCTGACTGAGGCCCATGAACTGATAGCCAAGGACCTAAAGGGCAACTTTCAAGAAATTTCGACAGCCTGACCTTCCCAAAGCTTGCGGTCTCGCAGAAAGTAGCCTAAAGAACCCCTCGAGTGCCGATTATCTCTCACACTGGGAATCTTAAGCGATTGGTGTACATCCCTGGTCCCAACGGCTCCTTTGCAGTCCTAGGACATGGAAGGCCCTTAGGTGGCAGGGGCAAGTGAGGGCCAAAAGTTCTGGTACAGGAAGGCAGCAAGGAGGCCTGCCTTGAGCTTTTGAAATCTTGCTCTTCCCTATGCCAAGATCCACTCCCAGTCTTGTTTGGGGTTGTGGTAAATTCCCGCAGTCTCCTCACCTTGGGAGGCCCCACTGGACATCCTGGCCTGGGAGTGACGAGCAGAGCTTCGAGTGGTAGGCCGGTAACCAGGCAGGCTGAGCAGAGCCGAGTTGCCATCATCAGGGGAACCCAAACGGGCCAGAGACTGGGTGGAAGAGGTGGCGCGCAAGCTGGGCTGGGGAGCAGGGGCAGACTGCGTGCTATAGAAGGATGAGTTGGCGCTGTCTGGCTCTTCCACATCTAGTTTCTGGAAGGATGAATCATTGCAGTAACACCATAGCACCACCTCCTCGGTCCCAAAGCTCTCAGATGCTACAGTACAGCTGTTGTTCCCACACTGCTTTAAAGGGGTCTTTAGATGGCAAGCGTAGAGACAGGCCACACGGCCAGAAGCTCTTGCAAGATGCTGAGGCTGCCAAGACCCTTCTACCCGTAATACTTTGAAGGAAGCATTATCATTATCAGCCTGTGTCAGAGGTAAGAAGTACGGTGACAGGTAGCAGTAGCTAGGCTAAGAGGCAGCTCCCTGTCTCCTGAGGTAGCGAGCTGGTCTCAGCCTACAGCTTCTGCCATCACTGCATCCAAGGTTCCCGGGGTCTGAATATCATCAACACTCTCCCTAATTCTTAGTAGTAGAAGGAAGTCACTGTGAGACGACAAAAAAAACAAAAACAAAAAAACCAAAAAAACCCATGCCAAGCTCCATCCTGACTGCATGGGATGCTAGAAACTCAGGGTTACTGCTAGTTCCTATATTCTGCTTTGCCTTCCTCTCAGGCAGGTCCTGTCCTTGTCTAGAGAAAAGCTCCTCAGTAAGTTAGGACCGTAGCTTATTATCCTAGCTTATCCCGACTGAGCCCCACGCTCAGGAGCCTAACCTTGGTCATGGTAATGTTGATGATTTGTGTGGTACGCCGGCGAGCAGAGCGAGTCTTACGGCCAGAGTCAGGGAACGCATCCCCCAGGGAGTCCAGGCTGCTCTCTAAGGGGGCCTGACCCCGAGCTGGAATGGGGGTGAAGTAGAGACTCTCCAGGGATTCCACCTTGGGGGGCAGGCGCTGGGAGATGGGTGAAGCTGGCTCTCCAGGGACACTGGTGCCATCTGGCTGGGTACGAGGCAGCTTGCTGTAGAGAAAGTGATGTCCTGAGATGCAGTTCCTGGGCTAGAAGGCACGCTGTCTGTCCACTAGCCTCAAAGTGATTCTTACACTGATGTGTAAATGTGGTAAAACATACTCTCACTGGTATTTCCAAAATACTGAAAAGGAGCTGACTGAGCTTTTCTAGTTCACTCTTGGCTGCTTCTAACCCATTCATACTGGCAGATCCCTACTTTAGCCCAAGCCCCACTCTCCAGGCCAGACAGCCATGAGCCCAGACCTCCCCCAGATGCCACAACTGTTCCACAATTGTCACTCTAAACCCTCTCTACATGGGATAGCTTCACAGGTCCCCAGCCATGAATGTGGGTATAATTTGACCTCTTCTGCCACCCTCAGTCAAAGTCAACATTCTAAGAAGCTCTCCCAGCTGCATACCTCTCCACGGGACTCCCTTCCCTCGTCATCCTGAGCTCATCTCCCCTGCACTTAGACTGGGAGATGCTGCACAGTGGTGACAAGCAAGGACTCAGGCCAAGTTTCCAGGTTCAATGCTGGGCTCCGTCAGTGTGG